GCTGTCGGTGATATACAGTTTTTAATATGGCACAAACAAGCAAATGTACTCTTTGCGGGTTCAATAACTGGAGATATAACGTATTAAAAGTACCAAGTGGTAAGACTTTTATTTCGCTCTTGACGTAGTTCATATGTTAGTTATAAATTAAAATTCTAGGTGATTGCAAGATTCTATTAGGGCATGGAAGTAAAGTTAATTGCGCTTCAGTAAGTTGATTAGATAATATTTCAATATGCTAATATTTTAATTGGAACTATTGAAAGATTATGCTAGTCAAATTTAAATACAAATTATTTTAGCTGATGGCTGATGGAACTCGTATAGCGGCTGGATATGATGACGGCCTTGTTAAAATTGGGATATTAAAAATACATCAGTGCAAAAACAAATAAATACTGATTCGCAAATTATTACTATTGATACCCATTTTGAAAATAATGTAATAATGATCGGAACTGCGGAAGGCAAAATGACCCTAATAAAATGCTACTATGGCAAAATTCTCAATGATATGAAAACGAATCAGTCAGTTGAATCAGTAGCATTTTATAATATGCTGAATTAAATCTTTCAGCAATAGGCAAGTTCTCAAATATTTTTATTTTTTTATTTTAATTATTTAAATTTGGTTGTTGGAAAGTAGGATGCCTAGATGGATCAATTGTTATATGGGATGTAACCAGAAATGCAGTCAGACAAACATTAGAATCACAAGCAGGCGTTGTCACCATTAAATGGCTAACTGGAGCAAAAATTATATCAGCTCATTTAGATGGTTGCATTAGAATTTATGATGGAAGATCGGGTGTTTTAGAAGTATAAACATATAACTTTATTTTACTAATATGTATTCTAATGAATTTAATAAACATTCACATAATCTATATTCTAGAATCTGTTTATGGGTCATAGAAGGGCAATACTTGACTTGGCAGTCTCAAAAAATCACAAAACATTTGCAACCGCGTCTGATGATGGTACAGCGAAGTTATTTGATTTACAAAATTCTCCTCCTGTCGAAATGGATTCTTGATTCGTATAATTATATTTTAATATTAATGTTAATGTAAAATATCAAATTAAGTTATATTTTGTTTATAAAAATAAAAATATAGAAAACAAATGGTATCTTTTATTAAAATTTTACCACATTTACGGCAACAGCCCGTACCGGATCGGATTTCCGGGATTGGAAATGTTTTACTATTATTTAAATTTGATTCATTATGAATTACTTATGACCATTTCTTTAATAATTGTACTGCCTTGAGAATCCTTATTCTTTAATAACTTAATGGATCAAAGCTACTAAATACATCAAAAACTTACCTTCACGCGCTTATTCGGCGATCGCTTATTTATTAGTCATGGTTAGTTTCACGAAATCTAATGAATTTAAATAAAACAAAATTGTAATGATTATTCTATATTTTATTACTGATAAGATTACATGATGATAGTGATATATCATAGTGCAACATCCAGTTTTTAAGTGACCGTCATTAGTTAAATTTTGTTTATACAAATATTATTTACCAAAACATTTTTACCGTTTCTCAATACTTTATGTGCAAAATGGAGTGTGAATATCAATAAAAGTCACTTAATAATGTAATTTATGTCATTTATGTAGATTTATATTATATATAAACAATCTCATCATATAAAACTTGCAAAGTTTCCGTTACAAATGAAATATTCGGGCGTTTCAAGCCATAAACGTTAATTATTGGCACATTTTATCAGGATATATATTTACTTCGATATAATGATATTTCGGATAATTGTTTTTAATTTCTTAAATATCCGTTCCTTAATTTGTATATCTCAAAAGCTTTATTTACAATATACATTTATTAATAATAATTTAACACTGATTTTATATCAAACTTTGATATAAAAGATTAATATTCATTTAATAAAAATAAAATCAAATGACAATCACTATAATTAAGTGATACAAAATAAACATAAATTCTAATTGGTAAATGTATAAAATCAGTGTCTTAACATTTTAAAGTCATATTTTTAATTTAGAATTTCATCAGCATGTCTACAATATAAAGCTATTGCCAATACATCATAACTAAAGCAATTCATAGAGATCTCATGAACACTTTGCGCAAAATATTTTCATTCGTTTAAATTTTCAATTATTTATATTCTTAAAATGGAAAACTTGTATAACCTTTTTAAAAGTTTTAATTGTTTAAATTAAAGGTAGAATTAATATTCAATATGTAAATTCAAATGTGTAACGATCTCATTAAAAAACTTGGGAAAAGTCACAATAATATTATAATTCATTATGTGTTTATCAGAAAACAAATATTTTGTGTAAATCATTCTCGATTTCAGTTCTATATTATGTAGATGCCACTTAATGTTACAAGTATACACTATATACTAATTATCTAACAATAGAATACATAGCTTTTCTTATTTTAATTTATATATTGACGATGTAGGAATAATCAAAATTTACAACCTAAATAAGGCTAAGAGCAATTCTAAAGCAGGACTGACATAATATTTGATGATAATCTTTATTTTATCATTTGCAATTGGCGTCATGTTTTTCTAAAAAACGAATTTATTATTGTTGATTAGGTGGTTTATTCAGTCAGCCCTGTTGTTCTATTTTATTGGCGTGATATCAACAAAACTTTGCAAATTAAGATTAGTGCAGATACAAAATTAATACAAAAAAGTGCTTTCTTATAAAGGCTAGCGAGAAAAATCGCTAATTCGATTGTGAAATACTTACAAATATTTTCACTATCATTAAGGTAAAATATTTTCCACATTTCTTAAAATACAATAATATGCTATAGTACTAGCGTTTGTTATTATTATTAACTAGAATGGTTTTTAAGCTTCAGTCTTAGAATATTGGTTATTATATGTCAAATCATTTTAGTGCTGAGATGAAATCGTTATACAATATTCATCTATAGAAATATTTGAAATTAAAACATAGTCATAAAGAGTACTTAATTGCATTTCTGTTGCATTTTTTCTATTCCTTATATCAAATACATCCACGTTGTACATTTATTATAAATCGACTTGAAACATTTATGTATAATAAAAATAATTTTTTAAAACAGTAAACAAAATTTCTTAATTCGTGCTATGATAGATAATAAAATAAAATGAATTAAATAATATGTATATTCTATTCTGATGTTCGAGTATTTTTTAGTTTTCTAAACTATAAATTCTATAGTCTATCACACAAATTTCGTTTATAACTAGTTTTTACACATTTTAAAAATATACAATGGCTACTTAACATTATTCGTAACGACATCGGTTATCGAAACCTATTTACCTTATACATTGTATAATAAATTCTTTTTTGAATATTAGGCAATATTTTTTATTATACGAATAGTACATATGTTATTATTACTGATATTTCGATTTCATCAAATCTGTCGCATGAAAAGTTAGTTTCATATATATAAAGTTTATTTGTTTTCTTAATGCAAATTCACTATGAAAGTAATGTATTTGCTTAAATATATTTTATAACTTAATGCTGATATTACAATGGATTTCGACAGCATACGACTTAATTTTTAAAAACGTTCAGTCTGATCTAAATATGTAACAATATAATAATTTTGTTCAATAAATTTTGGGCTCTGCAAGGTTGCTGAACAAGGAGAGGATTATTTATTGCTAATATAGTTTTATCAATATAATCCTTCCTAAATCCAATTTATTTTTGAATGCAACAAGTTTACATAATAAAGGTATATTGTCCAATTGTTTAGTTCAAACTTTTAGAATAACGCAATAACATAATATTATTGTTATAATTGTTAGCATTCATTTAAAATAAACTTTAATCCATCCATGGCGCTACTTAAGTATGCGAATATTTACACAAAATCTGATTGCGCGAATTACGGCATTTTATCTAATTGAAGAATTTTGGAATACGTTTTTGAAAAACGTGCTTTGGTAAAAATATTTTAGTTTAAAATATTAAATATCAGTTATTAGGTATTATCAGATATTGCAAATTGATTAGGTTACATTTAAAATAATTTATATGTAGTACACAATGCATACGTCAGACAAGCTTTTTTTGAAATATAGAAATTACTACTTTTTGAAATATAGAAATGCAAAAGATAGTTTTCTACGAAAAAAATATGCTTAATGCAATAGGCGGTCTTCAATTCGTTTCGAAAATTTTATTCGTACTGATATGTTGAAAGGTTGTCATATGCAGTGTATTCTTGTATAAAATTCAATTTTATATAGACATTATGTGAAAATTTTAGTATCAAAATGTATAGATCACTGAATGTAATTAGACTCATATGTATAATGGTATTTTTTATTAAAATGCGAGTATGTGTATATAGCCACGTATATGATGATTTCTTGATGTTTAAAAATGCCATAAAATCACTCAAGCAGAACATTTGTGTTCATATCCTCATATTAAATTATCATTTGCTCGTATTTTATTTACCGTGCAAACGGCTGCGCTAGATGTGACTACAACCTTGCATGCCCCGGCTTCAGGCTAATGTGACAACGTGTTCAGGTTCTGGTGACCAACAGTTGTCCGACAGCCAGCAGCCGATCACCACGGTGACCAGGCCGATTAGGAGCGCCAGCACGATGTAGACCTCGGCGTTACCTGTACAAAGAGTCATAGATTAATACTGGCTAATTGCAAACACATAAACAATCAGCTCTGTACGGATCAGAGATATGGAAGATAAAAAATGAAGAAGATTGTGACAAATGAACAACTGCTGAGAAGAATGGATGAAGAAAGAACTCTACTGAGCACAATCAATAAATGTGAAGGAAATTGGATCGAACCCATTCAAGAGTGTCTCCAACACGACGTGGTCAAAAATAAAATAGAAGAACTAGAAAGAAGAAATATGCAGATGATTGATGAACAAAATACAGGGAACTGAAAGCCGAAGCGCAAGACCAAGAAGAAACGTGGAACAGAAATAAGAAGATAAAAGTGAATAAATAATGATAACAAAAATAATTAACATAAGAGGAAAACGATTGATTTTGGTAAATAATGCCATTATTGTTTTAAAAATAAATTGTGGCGTATTTTAGATACAATGAATTGTTATAAAACACATTTTTAGGAAACAAATAACTATACTAATATTAAAAATTATCTAGGAAAACATATTTTGCACAAGTGATTTCACTATCTCACAAATTCTCCAAATATAATTATGCACTGTTGTTGCAATGAGTGTATGTTATATCAGTCCGATTTAGAAGAAGCGGTCAGTGTTGGTTCGTTTTGGAGGTTATCAAAAACTTTATATTTAAGCAGAATCTCTCTCACAGGGTGAATCAATATTCGTAAAATAAAATAGTATCAGCCTCTGTGAATATCGACGGTAACTATTGAATTGAAACAAGAGATGTCTGTTGGGTGCCAGTGCTAGCCAAATATATTAGTGCCAGCAACCCCTTTTCAAGCATAGAGTTCAACCCCCGACTGTTGGAAATTATATCTAAAGTAGTTTTTGCATAGGTGGCAGTAGGGGTTTGCTCAAATTCTGTGAAAAACAGTTATTTTTAAATTAAAATATGAAGTAGCACAATATCAAGAGCGATACCTTCATTATTTACATTAAGGACCTTAATAAGCACACTGACTTTTTAGGCTTTTATGTCTTATTTTATGTTTGTATGCCTTATACTTATTATGTATTTCTGAAATCACTGCAAATAATAAATTTTAACCCTGAACTAATTCTAACCCAGTCTGTATAACATTCATTTGTGGCGTTATTGTATTACAACTACTATGTATACAGGGTGTAATTTTGTTAATATTTTTGTTTAAATTTTCAATTTTATGGGTGAGCTTTGCATCATAAATTATTATATTAAGTATTTAGACCAAGTCAAAGAATACATATATGGTTGAGCAAATGTGACTTTGGGAACAGTAAATTTTCTAATAATTAGAAATTGATAAAGATTTCTAAGATCAATGGATAACCAACACAGTGTAGCTTT